TCTCTCTCTCTCTCTCTCTCTCTCTCTCTCTCTCTCTCTCTCTCTCTCTCTCTCTCTCTCTCTCTCTCTCTCTCTCTCTCTCTCTCTGTGGCCCCTATGCGCTTCTTTCAGCAAGAAAGTGCCCTCCAGATCACTAATACGCAGCGCGCTGCAGGGCTCTTTGTGTGTGTGTGTGTGTGTGTGCCCCCTGTGCTCTGTTGTTTGCAAGCAACCGCCCTTCGTTTCATTGCCAAGCTGCCCTCTTTCTCTCTTTCTCTCTCTCTCTCTCTCTCTCTCTCTCTCTCTCTCTCTCTCTCTCTCTCTCTCTCTCTTTGCGCGTGCGCGTGTGTGTGTGTGTGTGTCCGTGTGCGAAGGCGCTTCTGACAACCAAGAAAGTGGAAGCCAGTTCAAGCCACTCACCAAGGCCTCGCTACTATGGTGGTCACAGAGACAGAAAAAACAGAAAAGGGTTGTATCTTTCCATGTTTTAGCAGAAGATTCATTCTTATTTTGCACATTTGTTGAGGAGCGGAGCAAGGCCCCAAGTAGGGGAAAGAAATGAATCTCCGACCAGAACATTGAAAGGTACATGGCTACTTTTCTTTTAACCTATTTTTCAAGGCTTTGAAGCCCTCAGCCGTGGTCCAAAACTGAGCCTACTCAGCCTGGACCCGACCCCCTTGTGAAGATAAAGTTGGTCCTGTTCACTCAAACATAACGCATATGCGTTGTAAACGAATACAACGCACTCAAACATAACGCATATGTGTTGTAAACGAATACAACGCATAGTATGCGTTGTATTCGTTTACGAGGCATATGCGTTATGTTCGGGGGAAGACGATAATGCGAATCTGGTACAACGATTTTGGTGGCCTGGTATGTTGGACGAAGCCAAACAATACGTTCAAACTTGTCAAGTCTGTTAGCAGGACAAGCCGTGAACTCAAGCTCCACTTGGGTTACTCAAGCCCCTACCCATTCCTGCTGGTCCGGGACAGAGTGTTTCCATGGACTTCATGGATACCCTCGTGACCAGCAAGAGTGGCAAGCGGCATATCTTCGTCATAGTTGATAGGTTCACTAAGTTTGCCAGACTGATTGCTATGCCAGAGACCGCGAGGACTAAGCACGTCATCAAGTTATCCATGGATAACTGGGTGCGTGACTTTGGACTGCCAAAGACTATCGTTAGTGACAGAGATGTCTGTTTCACAAGTGAAATGTGGAAGAAGGCTGCAGAACAGATGGGCATTCAACTTCAGATGACTTCTAGGAATCATCCCAAAGCCAACGGGCAGGCTGAATAGATGAACCGAGTGGTGCAGCATCTGCTGAGGCATTACATAAAGCCCAACCAAAATGATTGGGATGAGAAGTTACCTCTCATTGCCCGCCTGTACAACAACGTTGTGCACAGCACCACTGGAGTCAATCCAAATCAGTTGCACTTGGGGTGGAAGCCTAGATCTGCTCTAGACTTCCTCCTGCCTGAAAACCGACGTGCTGCAACTCCTGGAACCATTAAATTGTCTAGTACGAGAAGTTGTTGCGGCAAGTTGTCGAACACATCAAAGAATCTCAAGAAGCAATGATTGCTTTTGAGAACAAGCATCGCCGACAGTCCACATTTCATGTAGCGAACGTGTCTGGGTTAAGTCTAGCGAATTAGGACAGGAATTCAACATCTCTAGGAAACGAATGCCTCAATACTTCGGTCCTTGGGAAGTCTTGGATATTGTGGGTAGTGAAGAAGATGGTCCCTCGTATGTGATTCAAATCTCTTGTCACCCACGCACTTACCCTGTGTTTCACGCCTCAAACCTTGCACCTTTCGCTGAGACAGCAGTTCCCGTCGACGACATTTTGGAGCACAGAGGCATGCCTGTCCTTAAGCCTGTGGGCGGAGGAAGACCGTCGAAACCGAAGAGCGAGTACAGGGTCAGATTCAGGCATCATACGGATCCGAAAGAAGATCGATGGTTCACCAAAGAGGAACTGGTAAAGACAGCACCTCAGATTGTGGCAGATTATGAAAGGAGGTTGAAGGGGAGGGCACCTGCGTAGAAGCATCTCAGCGGACTTTCGAAGCTAAGGGGGATGGAATATGAGGAATGTGTCCTCAGAGGCCCTTAGACAACATGCATATGTTCCGGCGGTGGTCCCCAGCAAGCCTCGTTCCCGCCCTAAGTGAAGGCGGGCCTGAAGACACACAAGAGACCATTATCTCGGCATTTTCCAATGCAAGTCTCAGACAGGTTTTGCACGACAGTTGGTTGAAGTGCAACCTGAGGCCTTACCCTGGGCTCTTCCAGAGGAAGGAACTGCGTCAGGCAGTTGAGCCCATTGCCCGGGTGGTTGAGCCCAGGGCACATGTGCAAATGCAGCAAACATTCGAAGCCTGGAAAGTGTTGGGTTTGCCCAACTAAAAAGGGCCCAGGCCCGTAACTGTCAAGTT